ACCGAAACACGGTCATTTTGCAACATGAGGCATCCGCAGTTGTTTGCCGCAAAGGCGATAGAACAATACCCGAGCTCATCAAGTGGGTTTCGGTCTGAACCGGGGCTTTTCCGCATTTATGTAATGTTCACCATCATGCTGTGTACGGGCTGCTCACTGGGAGCGTCAATGTCATCGATGTCCCTCGTTCACAATAGAGCTTGCAGTGCACACGTTAGCGGCCTCGTCTCTTGTCTCTCTTACAGCGAGCTGACTCCATCATATCGTAGGCGGGATTACCAGCGCGTGCTGATCGAGATCAGACGAGCTCGCAGCTTTGCTAGTGAGCGCAACCCACTCCGGACTCCGCCACTTCCAATGTGGGCGCGGGATTATCGTTCGCTTACGCTGATCTCGCGGCACGCCCCTGGCGAAAGTATACGGGTGCGTGGGTTGTGTGATCGGCACCGAGAGCATCCAGGGCTTTACCGTCAAGTAACCGCAGGTGGGTCCGCATATACTACTCTACAACGTGTTCCCAACACACGGCCTGACCCACTCTGAAGTGCGAGCTTATATATAGAATAAGTCGACGACATATGCTTGCAACACCTCACTTAACCCGCGACTGCCACATCGATAGCCAGTTGATACTTACCGCCAACGTCGTCCGTCTAGCAACTGTGCACGAACCGATGCCGATGACCAATATTCTTGACCTCAACCTCGACATCTTGCACATTATCTTCACCTACCTCTCCCAGCAAAGTGCGCTGTCACTCGCCTACACCTGCAAATCGTTCTATGCTCTTGCTCTTCCTCGAGTTCTGCACAATGTCGTGCTGCGTCCATCGCGGTTACCCGCACTTGAGGCCTTCTTACTCGCGAAAACTCGTGCTGCAGGCGACGGCGAAGCTTGCCACGGTGTCGGCAGCTTGAAGAGACAGGGCTATACATCAGGCCTCCGTTGGGACGATAATATCCGCTTTCTCCGCCATCTCACAATTGCCCAAGCCCTGCCCGCGTCAGGCACCGTCAAAAGCCGCTCTGCGTCTTGGCAGATTCGCACCTCCACCTCACTCGCCAATATCCTCCTTCGTGCGCACAGCCTTCGGACTCTTTCAATAGACCGCGCCGAGTCGGCCTGCCTTCTCCACGTCCCTCTTGTGCATGCGCTACGAGAAGGGCTGCCCAAGCTGACCAGTCTTTCATTAACCCACGTTGGCCACTTCCTGCTCAACCGCGTCCTCCCGGCGGTGCTTAACAGGGCGAATATCAGGGTTCTGAGATTGGGGTTCGGTGCTGCGGACTATGTTGTACATGATGTGGGCGAGCTATCTGCCGCGTTAGAGGGGTGGACCAACTTGTACGACCTCGAAATTTCGAACGCGTATTTCAGGCCCGTTCATCCAGGCCAGCCGTGTGGAGACCCACCGCCACGACGCCTTCCGTCTGTGCGAGCCCTCACCCTGCGATCGACCACGGTACCACTCTCAAGCCTGGCCGCAATCACCCCCAATCTGATGTCGTTGACTCTGGATCAAGTAGTAGATGGGCAGCCTGGAGATGGTGGGAGGCGATGGAGGTATCTCGACCATGTCTCGGCGTCATCGGTAGATTTAGAAGCTCTCCTCGGCAAGACGGGATCCAGGCTGCTCGGGCACTCCGGAGACAGCACGCGTAAACCACACGAGGGTATGACCCTCGAAGCCAGGAAATTTCCCATGCACATTCGAAGACTGGTCATCACGGACTGGTGTGGGTCCAAGTCGCCGCCGTCGCTGGTGCCATACTGCCAAAGCATCAATGCGATACCCCTTATGGAGTTAATCGCACAGGCCGAGCCGACAGTATTAACGATGCCTCTCACGAGGGCCGATATGATAGGGGAAATTCTGGAAGATTTGGCGAAGAACACGAAGGAGTTGAGATATTTGGAGATACAAATCTCACTGGAGTCGGAAGCGGGGTGGGGCCATTGTGAAGGGAATTCTGAGGGTTCTTTGGCAGTGAGTGTCGTGTTTTGTGTTACGAGGGAGCTAGCACTCAACTCTGGATGCCAGGACAAGATCATTCTCCCGCTAGCAGGGATGAGTCTCGCCGGCCTACGCATCACATTGGAGGCACCTAGAGCGGCGTCGTTTTCGGAAGAAGGCAGGAGAACTATGAAGAGAGCGTTCTCGGCCTCGCTTATTCGACATCCCTCGAAGCTGGCTTGGGCGGGCCTAGCGTTTGCTAGGCAGGAAGTCGCAGGCGATACATTGGATAAGATCGAGGAAGAGCCGGAGTGGACGACCTCCTGGTGGTATCGTATTGACCACTCCTTACATGAGTCTCAATCGACGAACTGCTCTTGCAAACAGGGATGTAGAAAGCGGAAGGGCTTGGGCCTCCCTGTGCCTATGGAGCTCAGCGAGAGTGTAAGGCACTGTTTACTGAATAGCTGGATGCTGGAGAGAGCGGCGGGGAATGGGTACACTGTCACCAAGGGACAATATAGGACGTACGCGCAATATTATGAACTTTAGATAAACAACATCTTGACTGAGTGAGTGCGATACATACGTACAGCACGGCGACGGCAACGTAAATTCCTGGGTCGCTGAATTCAAGCGCTGACCACGTGCAGCATGTGGCTCCGATACGACTGGCAATTGGCTCAGATCTTCCTTGCGTCGTCAGATTGCAGGTTTACGAGGAGAAAGTGTGCGGGTCGACTATCATTTTGTCATGTTATGTTATCCTGTAAAGATAGCGGCATCATTTTGCATGCTTATATCGTTGAGCCTAACGTTAATACTCACCCAGAGTCCGTCCTGTTTGATAGTCGGTGGTCATCGCGGATTAAAGTTTAATCCGCGATGACCACCTTGAAGGTGAGTACGCCACAACGTCAGCGCTTTTCCTGATTTAGTCCACCCGCTTTCGTCGCGTTACGGATTACTTCAGTGAACTTGACAGTGTGCATACGCATCGGAAACCCATTTCTTGCACGGAGCCGCTAGTTATGTGTTCACTGCTATGCATTGGAAGGGGTTGTCAGGCATTTGGTCACGTTCGGCGTCATCGCTGTGTGACTAAAACGTGACGCGTGACAGTAAATTAACACTATTGAATTCGAAAATTATCGCACCGAAAATGTCTCCTCCATCTTCCTCGAGTACGCTACCACAGTCCGCGTACAACTCAAGACGACACGTAGGAATCCACGCTGAACTTATATCAGATGTTTCAAGCACGGAATATCCTGGACATTATCCTAACGAGGATCACAGTTGGAATCTAGACACTTTCAAAAAGGTGCGTGCACATGTGCCAAGAGGTTCTACGCGGGTCTTGAACAGATTTGTGTAAGGAATTGACAGTGAAAGTACAACGGCTCTCTCAAAGGTCCATTGAGTTCGATCTTGTTGGAGTGGACGCCTCAATAGCGAACGCGTTCCGAAGGATTCTCATTGCAGAGGTACGGGTTCTTCTTATATCAAGTAAGCTCATCATTTACCCACCCGCCAGGTACCTACACTCGCAATTGAACATGTATATGTCTGGAACAACACCTCAGTCATACATGATGAAGTCCTTGCACATCGACTCGGTCTTGTTCCGTTGAATGTAGACCCAGCCTTGATGGAATACCGCACGCCGACTGGAATCAACGCCTCCCCAAATGACAGGAATACGATCGTCTTCCAGTAAGACTCTGCGCTATCCAATATCTTCTTTATGTGCTTAATGTATGTGATGCAGACTAAAAGTCGAATGCTCACGAGCACCGAGGGGGAGCGGGAAAGAGTACATCAACGATGAGGTGAAGAGCGGCGACCTTGTATGGGTTTCGCAAGGAGAGCAGGAAACTGTGTTCGCTGATAAGCCTCCTGCACCGACAAACAAAGTGCGACTATGCATCACTTTAAACGTGGATGACTGAGCTGATGCGCGTCATATTAGAATATTGTCTTGGCCAAGTTGCGTCCGGGACAAGAAATAGACATGGAGCTTCATGCTACAAAGAATGTAGGCAAGGAGCACGCGAAGTGGAGCCCAGTCGGTGAGTTCGAATAGAACTGTAGTTGGTACGCTACTTAACGTCATCGCCCCCCAGCTACTGCCTCCTACCGCCTACACCCCCTCATCATTTTGAACCCCGAAAAACCAATACCGCCTCATCTAGCGACGAAATTCGCCGGGTGCTTCAGTCCTGGGGTTGTCAAGGTTAGCAAAAACAACGAGGTATGGAATTCATCAACTACGATTGTCAGCACCTGAGATTGACCACTACGCAGGTCTCGATTGATGAACAGGGTATGCGAAATGACAGCGTATCACGGGAGGTTCTTCGACACGAGGAGTTTGCCGACTCTGTCCAGCTGAAGAGGATCCGTGACTGGTTCATCTGTAAGCCTACCCTGTCCCTCCTTCAAGGATATCAGCTAAGTCCCCTCTGCGTACAGTCAGCGTAGAATCTGAGGGTCCTTACGAACCCGAGCGATTGCTACCCGAAGCAGTCAAGGTAATGAGAGAAAAGATAGCCTCTATTCGCGCTGCCGCAGAGGCGCTTCTTGCTGGGGATGTTGATGACGGACCAGTGAACGCGGAGGGAGTAGAGGATGTAGAAATGGTTGACCAGTGATTGAAGTTGTTTTACCATAGAATTCTTCTTGTAGATCACTCCGTGTGCTTATATATCCATGTCATGTAAAACAGAATCAGCCCGCCTCAGTCGCGTTGTAGGAAAGGTGCGTAAGGATCTGAACGCTGGGACTCCGATACACCTACGAGTTGCAGATCATTTAGCAGTAGCATGTTTACCCCTTTGTTTATTGAGACCTGCGCTGACCATGATCTTTGTGGCCGGTAGGTAGTTGATGTGTATTCGGCTATCGCAGGTGGAATATTCGGAGCGCTGGCGATTGCGGGTGAGCCGCAATTGAGCGCTAGCTACTCCGAAGATTCCGGGATACATTCGTTCTGCAGCTCGCTGTGCTCAGCGCACTGTGGCCTCGACAAAAAAGCAAAAAGACTGGACGCACTGGGAATTGAACCCAGCACCCCCCGCAAGCTTAGAAATGCTAAGCGGATGTGATAACCAACTACACCATGCGCCCGTGAAGACTGCGCCCGATCGTCGTGATCAGTGCTCGAGATCAACTTATTTTCTCATCAGCATCATGTGCAGAGTGCAAAAGTAAATTAACACATTGATTTATCCCGCTGCATGCTTGGTATAACTTTACACAACAGATTTACTTACAGTGTCATGTCATAATGACCTAGTAGTTAGATTACATCAACATCATTGACCAGCAAACAAGCGATGCCAATATTCCATGATCTACTGAGAGTACTGTCACTGTTTAGCCAGCAGACAACGTAAAAGTGGTGTCTTCGTGTTTGAGAACAGAACTATCCTACCTTGACATAGCAAGTATACTTGACTGCTGAAGTGACTTTGCCTATTTGATCATAGTTGCGCAACCTCACTGTTATTTTCATGGGCGCATGGTGTAGTTGGTTATCACATCCGCTTAGCATTTCTAAGCTTGCGGGGGGTGCTGGGTTCAATTCCCAGTGCGTCCAGTACTTTTGCTTTTCTCATTCATCAGTATCCCGTCGCTGAGTGCGTTGAACACGGGGCGTCGGATGGCCCACCACGCTTCCGTTCGCAGATGGCGAAACCCACTCATCAAAGTACCATAGTAGGTATCCACAACGTCTCCAGTGTAATGCATAAGAACAATTGCGCGAGTGATGCATATGATACTACGATGTTAGTCCCGTCTGTGGAAACGTCGGGGTTTTAGATCCTAGCCTTCAGCGTCCTCCGGTCGGAACGGCGATACAGAATGCACGATACTTCGACCCGTACCACTAGCACCGCACATCGATCGAAATTCCCTGGCTCAGTATCCGCGTGGTATCGACAATACCACACGCATACTTGGGTTTTACTGGCGTAGGGTATCTGTAGGGAACGATATCAGAATGGGCGAATTCCCATCAAGTACCACTCGAATACTTACAATAGGCGCCCGTTTAGGCGGCGGGTTCAAATCCCTGCATCGCCACAATGCTACTTATTATACTTATTAGCAGGCACGGTCAATTGAGCGAATAAATATATTATAATCTTAATCTAATGTACATTGCGGACAGCTTGTACACTACAAGGTGCAGGCTATGGTTGTGTTCTGACGAGACGAGAAACTGCGCGAGCGCTGGCGAGGACCAGGTCGCTTCGAAGATGTGAGTAGACCCTTCAGGTACTTCAGGCGATCCTGTAGAAATAGCAGCAGTCAGATATAACATAACGACAGTGATCAGTACTAACCTTGAAGGCCCTGACCTCTTCAGTCGGCCCTCTGTCGTCCTTACTTATCTCATCTGTATCACCCACATTCTCGTGCTCATCAGCATCCATGCCGACATCGTCCACTCACCGAGTCAGCTGACGCTCCTCATCCGCTTTCATGAGTCTGCCTTCCTCTCGCCACCTCACCACCTTGTCGCCCTTCGAATGCTTGTCTGCGCGCTTCTCGTCTTCTTTGACCTCGTCCACGGGCAAAGCTGTATTTTCAACACAAAGATGAGCAGATGGAGAGCAAGGGAGGCAGATGAGAACCTTGGGCGCACCTTTCTCTGTGTCCTTTTCGATACGCTACATGCATATAGGGAGGTCGCCGAGTCTTGAGATACGAGGAGGATGATGGCGAAACGCCAAGTTGTTTCTAACTCCGACGTCGTGCCCAGCGCCTTTTCAACTCCGTTAGCAGGTAACAAAAGCAATAACAAGTATTTACTTACCCAGTAACGATCTGTAGATAGGAACATCTGGCGCCTATGTGTGGGGAAAGCGTCGTTACAAAAATGAAAGGCCAGGAATGATTACTGATCTAACGACGCAGACGCGATTCGAACCTGCGTCCTCGCAATACCATCAATTTGCACGGTATTCGACTGGTATTAGGCTGCTATAGTATGTGTAGGGTATTTACATGGTATGTGATTTACCTATTGAATACCGAGTCAGGAAATTCGGGGCTGATGTGCGGTGTAGTGCTTTTCTCTCTACTTTACTACGGGTCATACTGTCGATCACCGCCTTTCTCAGCGTACTGTAGTCTATCTGCATACTATCCCTAGCCTACGTAGAACCGGTGTCCAACATTGAACCACCTATTCGCCCGATCCGTGGCCGTCGCATCGCGTACTGTGCAGCTTGGAGTTATTCAACTGAATACCAAGTCCTTGTGGTCGCAGACTGTGACCGTGTATCGTTTGAAAAGCTCTACTGACTGGGTTTTGGTGAGCTATGATCCGAAGCTCAGTTGGCGTTCGTCAGCGCAATCAATCCGTGCTAGTTACTAGGGTGGCTCCTCAAGACTTCGTCTCTAGTCCTGTGTAAGCTCTATGATCGTGAACGGCTCTCCGGCGGCGGTGAGTGAGAGTACAGTGGAAGATAAGGCAGCAGCTTTTGCATATCGGGTGTACCGGCCAACAGACATTTTTCGACGGGCCCGGGACTAGTGGCGCGCCAGATGACATGGGTGTACGAGCGAGCTTTACTCCAGTACATGGAGATCCGTGATTGTGGCTCTTTCAGCAGCAGTACAGTATCGCGCTGCTTCAACCATAGACCCGCCACTTCGCGCTACCTCGCCGTACCGGATGGATGCGCAGAGTAGATTCCAAGGTGTTGGTGTCCATTTTCCATATGTGGGCTCGCATTCGAAAAAGCACAAATCACCTGCATGATGAACCCAGTCCTAGTCTCACGTTGGGCTTGAACTTCCCAAAGTTCATCGATCGAGAGATGAAACACTGTTAGGTCGAATGTGATGCTCCCAGATGGTTGGACCCTGCGGGGAAGGAGCAAATATCCGACGGAGTGCGCGCAGCGATACCAGCGGTTCGCGCATTCTTTGGTTCGATCACCCGGGAATGAAATGACCTAAGGCCATAGTTAGGAGCCATGCAGTACACCATCTATTACGCCGGTGAAAGGCGGTTGAGAGGACGCCATGGCGATTGGGAAGCGCAAGCGGGTGCTGTTTAACGCGGCGTCACTGCCGAACCCGCGCGAAGATAAAAACGTACCCTGACAACTGCATTGCAAGCGGCATAGACAAAGTGACAGATTGCAGCAAGTCGGTCGGGCTTGCAATCAATGTGCTTGTGATATTACGCTGCTGAGCAAGCCATCAGGGAGCCCGGTGTAAACCCGAGGCGTTATGGACATGGTTTGGCTCGACCAGGAGATTGGTGTGCTCCCAGGCACTCACTTGTATAAATGCGGTAATGCATCGTCAGAGGCCATCTATGGCAAATATTTCACAGCGCAATCCTGCCATATCAGACGTAGCAGGCTGGAAGATCGACTCTGAAATGAACATTTACAAATCAGGATGAATAGATCAATAGATATGCACAGCAACGGGCGTACGCACTCTAGCGTCAGCCATAAAGCACTGTAGAACCGAAGTCTTGTGCCATTCCATCTTCGGGATCGAGTTTGTTGTGCCGTGCATAGTCTAGCGCTACACTCCGGTGTCATACGGTGCAACAATGACAACTATGAGCGACTCACTGCTAGTCTATAACGATCGTTCGATCACAACGGAGGATGTCCAGGTGAAGGATCCCGAGAGCGGACATCTTTCAACAATCATATCGTATCATCGCAAGATGGATGAGCTCATGATATCCTGAAGTCTTGCATGGTCGCGGTACCAAGACTCTATTTTGAATTCAGCGCATGAGTTAGCCCGAGCTTAGGCTCGGGGATTTGTACAACAGCTTTGATTTACGACACAGCGAGCATCGGAGACGTCACCGTCAGGAGGAAGATTGACTTCGGCAAGACGCGTCCACATGTAAAATCCATTCAACATGCACATGGCTCTATTAAGAGGGTGACAGACCTGTAACACTATCGATTCGCTAGGCAGACGCCTCTGCGATGTTCCTGAACAATACCGGACGCCTGAGCCGGTGTTCAGTGCGCGCATCAGCAGTAGCTTATACCTAGAAAGACAAGATGCACGCACAGTCTAGCAAAGACCGGGAAAGGCTGAACGCATCTTGCATTGCTTTTCACTGTTTCCTTCTGTGTCTCTATCAGGTGCCCTTAGATATTGCTGTCGAATGTATCACTTTTCTGCGTGGCTTGCCATATATCTATATCTGGTCACAGATAATTCAGATATAGTCCAGTATTTCGGGATTCAGGATAGCTGAGCGATCGCGCTTCACCGACTATAGCCTCGGGGGTATCGTTCCAGCGGATGCTCCACATGTGAATATTCTGGACTCGATATTGCGATGCCACTCTTCGCGCCTTTCGCTGTGCACGCGCTACGGTCGCAATGGCATACACACGATATATTGGCAGGTTACCGGGACACTGAAACTTTAGGCTGATTGCGGCTGACATGAAGTCTACATTCAATGCCTGGTACCTTGAGGGTGATCGCAGCAGCAATAGTCTCTGGTGTTCGGCAATGACCAGCCACCTAGCCCAAAGGACCAGAATTACGTTAGAGGATGGTGTCGCTGCTAAGCCTATACCATTCAGTTCGGATGATACGTAACTGCAATTTACTCGCCGCATTCATCCATAACATTAATGTGTTATCGGCGGGTGTCTGGGCTGTTTGAAATGTACCACCCTTCATGGGGATGCAGCCTGTGCCGCTCGGCCGTGTATACGTAGTGAAAACTCTCGTTTGGCTAAGACGACGAGTATAATAGCGGTAAGGTTAGCGACGCTAGTCCGGGTTTGACCGCTGTGATGAACGGGTGTCCGGGCTGTCGCTGGCCATGAGCGTGAGTGTGACACCAGTCCGAATTTGAAGATCTGACTTTTGCGGCGTGCAAGGCGTGGGAACGGCATCCCAATCCGGTCATCATCGGTAATGGCTCACATCTCGGCTTTATGACCTGTCTTTACTCTATCTGGTCGATATCGTCTTGAAATGAATCTTCAAACGTAGCAAGTTCCGCCGCTCTGTTTCACGTCCACCAGCGCAATTCATGGAGCACAAACATGAGTGACGTGCTGTTTCTGCGGGGCATGTCACACTCGTGACCCATTCCGGTTTTGGATGGA